CCCGGGGCTCATCCGCAGGTCCCGTCGCGCCGGTGGCACTCCCGTTAGCTGTGTGTCCAGCCGTCGCCCTTGCTGGGGAACGTTTATTTGACACAAGAATTGACATGAAGATAATTCAAGCCCAACTGTCCCCACGCCAGTGTTATCCAGTGGTTCTGAAAAAAATCTGGGGTTTTTTGGGGGGGTTGCTTTTTTTTTTTGCTTTTTGGAATTAAATAAGGGCTTTTCTTACCTCTACCAGTACACAACATACTAATGAGTATGGCAATTTATGTCAGGTGAGGAGGAGCTACAAGGTCTGTCATTTGAATTAAAAGCGTGGAGTTTAGTGTGAACTTCTGAATCTGCTAAAGCTGGACTTTGAAATTTTATTTCTGGCACCTGGACTCCTGGCTCTCATGGGAAGCGAGCCTGCAGCCTAACAGTCTCACAGCCTCCATGACTCCTTCAGCTCATCTACCTCTTACGGGAACTGGGAAGAATTTCTTCCTGCTTTAATGACGTTAGTGTCTTCTTTCTGGTTTCACCCTGGACAGAACAGGATCAGATGTAAATTTTGCTGCCACCGCCTAGCATCCTTTGCTGTTTATTCACACCTGGCCAGTACTTCTCCAAGAGGATCCGTTGGGACTGACACAGGGAGTGTGAAATCACGGGCACGGCGACTCAGCCACAATGGTCCCCTCCAATGGATGCTATTTCTTGCATGTGGCACACCCTGCACTGGTGCACTTGGTTCTTCTCTTGCAGCTCAGACATGCGCTGCTTTAGTAGGCAGAAGTGGTTGTGTTTCTAACACTTGTGTGAGCTTTGTGTCTGCAGCTCTCCACCCAGCTCTCCACCCACCCACCCTCTTCAGACCAGGCACACAGAGTGGTATTATGAAGGCAATGCTTGTTTTCCTACCAAGCTCTGGTTTTGCCAGCACAGTAATATTAACATAGATCATGTTCCTGAGCCCCCTGTTTACCTTCCCAGACCAGAATGACCTGTACTGGTGTAAGCACTTCTCTACTGGTTCCTGCATCTCTGCTGAATGGAGGGGGCTGTGCCAATACTGCTAGGCAGCTGCATGTTTTGGCCCATTCCCCTTTAGCAGTGGCATTCTGTTCTGATTTTGGCTGGGATAGAGTTAATTTTCTTCCCAGTAGCTGGCATAGTGCTGTGTTTTGGATTTAGTATTAGAAGAATGCTGATAACACACTGATGGTTTAGTTGTTGCTAAGTACTGCTTATGCTAGTCAAGGACTTTTCAGCTTCCCATGCTCTGCCAGGTAAACAGGAAAACTGGGAGGGGGCACAGCCAGGATAGTTGATCCAAACTGACCAAAGGGCTATTCCATACCATATGACGTCATGCTTGGTATAGAAACTGGGGGAGTTGGCCGGGGGAGAGCGATCGCTGCTTGGGAACTGTCTGGGTATCGGTTGGCGGGTGGTGAGCAATGGCATTGTGCATCACTTGCTTTGTATATTATTATTGTTATTATTATGCTGTTGTTATTACTACTACTACTACTACTACTACTACTACTACTACTACTACTATTTTACTTTACTTTATTTCAATTATTAAACTGTTCTTATCTCAAGCCAGGAGTGTTTCTTACTCTTACTCTTCCAATTCTCTTCCCCATCCCACCAGGGCAGGGGGAGTGAGCGAGCGGCTGCGTGGTGCTTAGTTGCTGGCTGAGGTTAAAACACGGCACATTCCCAGCCCCTGCAGCCATGGCCCCAGCTGTGTGCCTGCCTGGGCCACCTCGAGCCCTTCCCCTTCCTCCTTTAGTCCCTGCAAGATAAGTGCCATTTTGTGTAGTTGGCACTGAACTCTTCACTGTCAGCATGGGCTCTCCGAGGCTCCTAGAAAATCCCTCTGACTCCAGATTTTGCAGACTACATCTGCACTGCAAGGTGAAGCAGCAGCAGGAGGGTAGGTTAAGCACATCATGCTCTAGTTTCTGGCCAAGCTGTTGGACAGTAGCTTGGGTTCAACCTGTTCCCGCTGCACTTAAGAGCAGATGAGCTGGACTATGGTGTCCTTCGCATTGGGCATGCAAATCTAACCTCTGGTGTCTCGACCTTAACCCTGGCACAACTGCTTTTTTCTGGATGCCCATTCTCCAAAAAAGGAGATTTATGGGAATTTGAGTCCAGCCAAAGGGTCATCACTGAGGACATGGTGCCTTTTCCTTCAGTGGCAGTTTTGCCTGATGAAAAGTCAAGTGTCTCAGCATTTAGCCTGCAAAAGGGTGAGGATTGTATCCCATTAGCAAGGAAAGTGACAAAATGGGATTGTAAGAACCACATGCTGTTGTATCAAGACAGGAATACAGCTTATAAATCCTTTATTTCCTAACAGTGGAAATGCTTTATTTACATACTGCCACACCAAAAAGAAAAAAAAAAAAACAAAAAAGACAAAGGAAACCCATGCAGGCTCAGCACTGTCCTTGGGAGCCCTGCAGAAAGCTGTGTTAGCCCAAGTGCCGGTACTCAGGGTGCTGTTAGTGCTGGTGGGGCTCCCTACCAGAGCAGAAAGCTTTTGTGTCTTCTTGTGCAGATGAGCCCCTGTCCACTTCCACCAACATTGAAATAGTTGTCATTCATCAGGTTTCACCCATGTTTTGTGGCAGGTGCTCCTTGCCTCCTCTAAACCAGAACCAGGAATGGTAAGCGGCTCTCTTAATTTTCCTGCTATCAAAGGCATCAGAGTGGATACTGGAAAACTCTTGAGATTTTCCAGACTTCTTTCCTGAGGCCTGAGACCTCGTAACAAACACTTCCTCTGGTTCAAAAGGACGATGAGCTTTGTTGCAGACTGCACTGTTGGACCCTATGCAATGCTGGGTCTTCTCACTCACGTCAGCACTGGATGCCCCATCACCTGCTGCTCTTACCAGGACTGCTTGTTTTTTCCACTTATATCTGGATTTCTAAGCACTAAAGGCAAATTTCAAAGCTGTGTAGACAAACGCAATTATGACTCACATTAAGGCAGAGCTGTGGGGTCGCTAAAATGTATTTCTGACATTTTAAATAAAATGTCCACAAGCAGGTTGTTGCGATGTGCCCAGCTACATGTACACAGGCTGCTTGTCACCTGCTGAATGCCCAGCGCTGGTGGGAAAGGGGAAGACTTAGGCTTTAAGAAAGAGAATCCTTTCAGCTATTACCTCAGACGTGTACAAGACTTTCAGTTAAGATAGAAGCCTTTGGCTTAGGGTCCATATTTTCACCCTGGAAGTTTAATTAGCTGATACTTCCCCATTATTGCTTTTATTCGTCATCCCTTTGTTTTACTGGAGCATCTGTTTTCTAAAGGTATGAAAACGCTTAGCTTTATACACCAGATAAGTTATGGGGTATTGCTCCTGGGGACAGGCAAAGAAACACTGACAGAGAAGGCAGGGGACTTGGCCAAGTTCAAAATCAAGGTCTGTGCTAAACCAGGATAGTGTGGCACCTAGATCCCAGGCACTTATTTTTGCACTTTAACCTGTGATCAACATAATTTCTGGAGAACATTTATATTTGAATTCCAGAGAGATCATCTGTTTATTTCTGAGCATCTCCTATCTTCGGTGTATGCACTTCTCTGGGGGTTTTAGGCTCAGACTCACAACTGTGACAAAGATGGACTAGGCCAGCTCAGCTGCTAACTGCTTGATTCTGCACGCTTACCTTGCTGTCTCTTACTGCACTAAGCTAAAGGGGACCAACTCTCCTCCCCTGTGGACCTAGAGGTCACATGTGTGTGAGCCACTACAGATGAGCTGATATCAGGTAGCTGGAAAAGCTGTGAACTGGCTCCATGCCTGAGCTCCGGTTGTTTTGTGACGCCTGGGACGTTTCAGGTTACCTGTGGGTCTTGCGACCATTATTGATTTATGGAAAATTCAACTTTCTCTGTCAGTATTTTTATGTCTTGGTAAAGAGACTATAAGCACAGCCTGACAAAACTGGGTTCGCGTTATGTTCAAGAGCCCTGTAGAGAGTGGAGGCGGGCAGCAGCTCCCAGGGCAGCCTCTGTGTCCCTTCAAATGCACTCCACCCCAGCGTCCTCTCTGTGGGAGCAGTTGTTCACACCCCAGTCGGGCTTTGAACAGTCCAAAATTGAATATTCGTTCCCGCTGCAGTTCACATCATCAAGCCAAATTTTTCCAGTACCTTTGGAAGATGAATTAAACAAACAAACAAAAAACTGTTGGACAAAAGAAAGAGGAATATGCATTTTTACTAGAGACCCCTGTGGATAGCAGGTGTGCATTGGGTTGCACGGTTGGCTTGTTGGAAATCAAGCCTTTGGGTACAGTTCAAGCAGCACTTGACCTGCAGCTCACTCATCCCAAGGGGAACGAGCTGCCCCTTTGAGGAGATCCTCTTCGCTCTCCCACTGCTAGTGTAGAGGACCTGGGTGTGGTGCTTTCTGGGTGTGCATGACCTTGGTAACGCACCCCCTGACTGAGGCCCTGCCTGGGGAAGTGGAAGGCTGTTGTGGACTCACCTCCTGCTGCTGTGAAGGCAGAGACTGCACGGCTGTATCCCAGCATTCGGCAGACCACAGTGGCATCTTGGGTGCCCCAGCCATCATCACATATTGTTCCCCAGGACCCTTGGTGATAGATTTCCACACGGCCCCTCTTGCCCCCTTCCGCAATTCGTATAAAATGATTGAAGTTGCCTGACATTTCAGAGGAGAAGAAAATAACTCATATGGGCATGAGCACACTGAAAGATAGAAGCAGTGACCGCCCAAACTGGATGAATGCTCCCATCTCCATGGCTGTAGCCAGGGTGGGACCAGAAGTTACTGGTAGCTCAAATCCAAACAATTCAGGGTCCTCTCCTGGGTCTGGAGACACCACAGTGTAGCTCAGCACACGGACCCCTTGGTTCTGGCAGCCATGCTGCAGGTTAACCAGTGTGCACAGGGGGCACCTTGGTCCTGATCTCAGATAGCTTCGGTGCCAGAAAGCAAGTGAGAGAAGAAGAAATAAAATTCCAATACCTTCTCCCTTTTCACCTTTGCTCCCTTTCATTCCTTGGGAACCTGTTCCAAATTAAAAAACAAGAAAATATTTGGCAACTGTTTGTGGGAAAATCCAGTTATTAACTTTTTCTGAATAATTGGGTGAATCAGAGATACAAGGGCTCTGTCGCCTTGTGGAATGGACCCTCTGAAGTGACTAAGGGTAAGTAAAAGAAACGTGGCAAGAAAAGCAGGATAACATAGAGCAAAGTCTTCCTAACATGTAACCCAAGAAAAGGGCCACTTGGAAAATCCCATCCACTCACTCGTGGGAAATGTATCTTATTCCCACTACTACCTGTAAAATGACATCTCTGATAGCCTTTGGGCTCTCCACAAGCAGGCATGGTATCTCCCAAAGTATTTGCAGGAAGATCTACATCATGGGGTTTGGTATCTAGGTGCTACCATGGGACAGCAGAAAGCCACTCCCAACTGTCCTTCTATATTTCAGTGGAGCATCCTGGTCTTGAAAGCAGAGGTGAGTGAAAAAACACGATGAGTTCTTCCCCCAAAAGCTACCTCCACAAAGCACACATTGCCATATCCTTCTGCAGGCCAGGAGCTGAGACCCACCCGGAGGGCAGTCCCTAACCTGGGTCACCCCAGTTATGCTTTTCCCCTCCTCCAGAGGCAAAGCTCTAGAAGAGGAGTGCACGGAGTAGCCCCAAAGATGCTCCAGTTTATTTTATTTCTGAGGACTCTTGTACTGTTCAGTGTGAACTATTAAAAGAAAAAACATCTGGAGCACTGTTCACTTCCTGTGGCCTGCTGGAATTACTGGTTTGGGTGGTTTTTTACTACAGGTCTTAGGGTTTTTGGAAGCATTCTGTGATTGGAAGGGAGGGGGGTAAGGATGGGGAGTAGCTGTAGTGTTGGCCCTTTTGAACTATTTTGTGTCCTACAATTAGAGAGGCATAGTTAAATACTCCTAGCGTTTCTGAATCTGTGTTCCTGACTGTCACGTTTACATGGGATTTATCCTGGAGGCATGGTATGCTGCAAGATGTCTCTGTACAAAACAAAGAGGAACATGGATTGTTCCAATTTTCTGTGAGAACAGGGATTTGAGAAAATCTAATGCATCTGTTTACTTGCATGTCTTTCAGCACACCTCACAAGGTGTAAATGTGACACTCTGCACATTCATCTGGGAAGACTGATCTGTCTGTTGAGTTCCTCCAAATGACCTCTGTAAACATGCCCCAGAGCAGCTTGTGCCAGTCTGTGAGGTACAGTCCCAAACTCAGATGCACCATCAGCTCCACAGACCCCGTGGCAAACAGCCTTACCAGAGAATCCACGCTCTCCTTTGGCTCCTTTTACTCCTGGTTCTCCTTTTGGACCCTGACTGCCATAATCACCCTTGCTTCCTTTTAGACCAGTTAGGCCTTGGCTGCCTGGGTGGAAAGCAAGAAAGTCATTGCCTTTGTCCCTTCCGAAGGAAAGAACATGACAAACATTTCATATTGATGCAGAGAAGAGGAACATGGCATTTAAAGTGCTTTGCATCATCAGAATAAGTCATGCTGTCAAAAAAGGGTTTACCTGGCAGGCCCTGGTCTCCCTTTGTTCCTTTTTGCCCTGAAAGACCTAAGATCATCAAAACAAACAAACAAAAATTTATAAGACAGGTATTTATACATTTGTAAAAGCTTATGTGAACTAGTATTTATGATGGATTTCAACTCTTCTAGTTTAGTTGTCTACACTATGGGCATCTGTTTCTGAAGTGGGTGTCTTATTTCCCATTATAGTCAGTGCAGACCTTGTCAATAAAGAAAATACAGGCAGGAGAGAATCGTCTTCTCCTGAAGTAGATCACCTTCTGCTAATTTGTTTCATATGCTAAACTCCACTGATGGGACAGAGACCCTCCCTCTAGGTGGGTCTTCACTAACCATATAGAGAGCCTGGACATATAAATTTAGGTGCATGAGACATATGCAAGCACATAATGTTGGGCCAGGTGACTCCCATCCCTATCATCTAGGTATCAATGAATGCAGAAGGGTGCAGTGTTTGGACCTTTGTCACCTCCTGATGGAGATGGGAGGTTGTGTGCACTATATAAATTAAGGGTTAAAAAGGTTAATTCAAGAGAGATACATCAGAATAGGCTTGTGCTGCCGAATGTCACCCTATTGTTTGGGTGCCTGGGACAGAGAGGTGGCCTTCTTCAGATGGAAGGTCAAAGAAAAGGCCTAAGTTGGCCTCTGAAGATACCTCTTCCTGCAATGCTACAGAGGAGGCCAGGACAGATGCTTGCTAGTGAATACCCTTCTCCGTCAGATTTTCAGCCAGTAAAAATTTGTCTTTAGCTCCAGAGTAAGGAAGTTGTTGTTCCGTTCATCTTAAATTGCTGTTTTGTTTGTGCTTTTTCTATTTATACAAAAATGCAGGCAACATCACCTCCTCATGCATGTTACAGATGGTTGAAACAACCCCTCCAGTGAGTCGCTACCCCCCAGCAGACTGGCAGAGGCCCAGGCCCACCATGGCATCCTGGGATATGTTGGGGCTCCAAGAGCAGGACTCAACAAATCTCCTTGCTGTTGCAGATCCCTTTCCAGTGTCTGCATAATGCATGTTGTTGACCCCAAACCTGTTTAATCTCCTTTACCTGGTATTCCTCTGTCCCCCTTTTCACCTCTGAGTCCTGGAATGCCTGGTATGCCTAAAATTAAAAACAAATCAGTAAGGGCGAAGCCATCACACAAAGCAAGGCGAGAGTAGGAGGTCGGTGAGTTATAAGTTTGAGCAGCGTTGTACCTGGACTACCAGTGAGCCCGCGGTCCCCCTTCTCCCCTTTCTGACCAGGTCTGCCTTCAGGGCCAGGAATTCCAACAGGTCCAGGTTGTCCGGTTATGCCTTGAAGTTGAGCAAAAGCAGCACACGTGAAATACAACACAACAAATGAAGGAGAAAAAATAAAGATAGCTCAATCACCAGCCCCTGCGCTGTGCAGATTGAGTTGACCCTATGAAGGGAAAACAAATGCTGGGTCTCTCTTGAATTGCAATCCTCCCCCTGGCAGCGCTAATCTTGGTGGTGCAGTGAGTGACAGTGTCCTGGTTACAGCTGGGATAGAGTTAATTTTCTTCCCAGTAGCTGGCATAGTGCTGTGTTTTGGATTTAGTATTAGAAGAATGCTGATAACACACTGATGGTTTAGTTGTTGCTGAGTACTGCTTATGCTAGTCAAGGACTTTTCAGCTTCCCATGCTCTGCCAGGTAAACAGGAAAACTGGGAGGGGGCACAGCCAGGATAGTTGATCCAAACTGACCAAAGGGCTATTCCATACCATATGACGTCATGCTTGGTATAGAAACTGGGGGAGTTGGCCGGGGGAGAGCGATCGCTGCTTGGGAACTGTCTGGGTATCGGTTGGCGGGTGGTGAGCAATGGCATTGTGCATCACTTGCTTTGTATATTATTATTATTGTTGTTGTTGTTGTATTGTTATTATTATCATTACTATTTTACTTTATTTCAATTATTAAACTGTTCTTATCTCAAGCCAGGAGTGTTTCTTACTCTTACTCCTACGCTTCTCCCCCCATCCCACCAGGGCAGGGGGAGTGAGCGAACAGCTACGTGGTGCTTAGCTGCTGGCTGGGGCTAAACCAAGACAGACAGTCTGGAGTGAAAGGCTTTATGGACCCAGGTCCTTGCAGACTGTCAGCCTTGAGAGGCACAAGTGCTTTCCTAAAAGAGCAGCCAGTTTCTGCCCTTGTACGTGCACATGTGTCAGGAAGGAGGACATGGCCCTCTATGATACGGGATCCTTCTTTCCCTCTCATTCTCCTGTGCAATGAGTGGGGTCCAGATGAGAAAGCCGAGGCTGTGGCATGGCTTTACACAATGTTGGCGTAGTTTCTTCATCTAATCATCATCTTCTCTTACCCATGCTGGGATCTAGCCTGGCTGCAGTTTTCCTTGTCATGAAGCACCATCTAAAAGAGATCAGTCTCATATCTCTAGAAGAAACTGCACCTCCTGTACTGCTTACCTGCCTCTCCTTTCTGCCCAGGACGTCCAGGCTCCCCCGTGCTACCTGTAACAACATCCTAGCATCAGTGCTAATGAGGCTTAGCCAAACACTTCAGCTAGGGCAGCCCTCCACCACAGCACGCATGTGCTGATGGTGGGTCGTGCTGTCCTCTGCACTTACCACTTAAACCTGGCAGGCCTGGGACTCCCTGCTGTCCCTGAGGACCCATGGGTCCACGGGGCCCGGGGTCTCCCTTCTTGCCCATTTCGCCTTTCTGTCCTTGGAGACCTATCAAACAGCACAGCACAAGTGTATAAATTTTAAAAAACAGATTCATTGTCTCTGCAGCCAGTGGAGCACCTCCGTCTAGGTGCACCAGTAGCTGTTTGGCCTCACACCTGCATTTACCATTCAGTGACGTTCCCATAAAGCTTTAGGAGGACAGGGCTGGATGGCACCTCAACTGTCTGAGCCATCTCCAGCTGTGCAAGACTGTCTGTCCAGATGTTTGTCTGACCTGCTGTTAAAGACTTGCAGTGGTGCCATGACACCTCCCCAGTCTATTCCCCAAACTATCCCTACCACCTGTTTTCTTCTCTAGTTAAATATCCCTTGTTGCAGTCTGAACCCTTCCCTTCTCCTAGCCACAGTGGAGGTGGAGGACAGTGTATTCCACTCTTGTGCTTCCAGGGAATTGCCACATCTCCCCTTAGCCTCTTCTCTGAATAGGTGATTAGTGGGCTCCAAAAGAGCTGAATTACTTAAAGTGCCTCATTTAAAGACTGACATCTCCTTCATCTTTCTGCTCCAGAATTATCCCAAAGTCCTCGCCTTTTGGTATTCCTCCTACTTTCACTTTTCTCTTCTGGAGCAACTTGTGCTAATGAGCACACTGGAGCATGTGGGATCTGATGGAAGATCTGAGGAAGCTAATCAACCTGTTCAGCTCTCCTCCCTGGTCTGCACCACACACATCTTCTGCTTTCTTTTGCTATACTGCTTTCAGCCTTTCCTCTCTGGGTGCAGCCCATGTGAGACCACTAAATAACAGCTATCCAGGAGATGCTCACTAATTCATGTTACATGGGAGAAACATGGTGCATAACTCTTCTACTTAAGGTGTATAAAAGTCAGGCTTCTATAAGACATAAAGTTCTCAGAAATAGGTTTTACTAAAGTGAGGACTAACATCCACATGCTTGTGCATATAAATTATATTGTATTATTTAATACCATGAAAATCCTACTGCAAACATTGCTGCTTTAATCTGGGATAGGCTGACAATTGAATACCTGTGGCTTTCATTAGACAAAGGTCACTCTATAAAGAGACTTTCATGGTGCAGTCAACATTTTGTACATCCCCTTCCCCCAGCCCTCCTTTGGGGGCTTTGCTGGAGCATGACATGAAATGCAATCCCTTCAGATCAGCACCCTGAGCTCAGGGCTGCCTGGATTTTTATGAAATATCTGACCTATGAAGACTTCTGGTGTTTTAAGTAGAATGAGTTTAAACAGGAATACATGGGAGAATCTTAATGAAGTTGAGATAGTGAAGAAGTCTTACCTGTAAGCCCCATCTCTCCTTTTTCTCCTCTTGCTCCTGGTTCACCACTTGGACCAATGGGACCAGGATCTCCTTTGCTCCCCTTCGCACCCTGCAGTCCATGTAAGCCTGCAAGGACAACACCACTTTTCTGATGCTTCACCAGGTGTCGTGTCTAGTGAATGCCAGCAGCAGGCCACATGGCTCAGCTCCGAGCATGAGCCAAACTCCACTCTCTGTGTACTTGAGAGTGATGCTGGTGGCAGTGGGAAACTGGGCTACAGTGACCAGTGCATGTTGACTAATAAGATTTTTTCCAGCTAAGTTTTGCTTTCTTCGCATTAGTTTTACATAGGATTATTTCCTTCAACTCCAGTGACATTCCTACTGACTTACACCTTGACTGAGAACAAGATTGCCCATAAAATCATCCATAAAGTCACTTTATGCTCATCCACAGGAGTAATTCAGGTGTCAGAAAAGCCTTACCTTGGATTCCTCGGTCTCCTTTTGTCCCCGGTGGTCCCTGTAGCCCTGAGATATAAAATACATATAAGAGCTGACACACATCATCTATTCGCAGTAATGGCTAAGAAGAAGAGATGAATTTTTTAATCATCCTTTGTGCATGCTCCTTCAGTCACCACTGAGGCCAATCTTCAGCTGGCAGGGACCAGCACAACTGCTTGAGTAAAGTCCGTGGAGCTCAGCTGAGTGCGTGGCTGGGCAGGGGCCAGCTGTCCTCCAGCCAAGCCCAGCTCGCGGGGACCTTTGGGGAGATCTTTCCTGAAAATGCACTGAACTATTGGGCTCTGATGTATAATAACTGTGCTTGGCGGGAGGTGCTCTTTCAATGGTGTAAGTTCAGCCAGGAAGATAGAAAACATGATTTTTAAAAAATGTATTAATTTTTTTTTTCTTCAGAAAAGCTCATCAATGCAGCCAGAAACTAAGGATGGATGAGATACAGACCTGACCTAACAAGGGTTTCTTCTTAGATCATCATCACAGGTCATAGAAACTCTGGTTTCTCTGGACATTGCCTAGCGCAACCTCTGCTCAAAGTGGAGCCAATATTAGGTCAGGACTTGCCGGTGTAGTTCTACGCAAAAACCCCAGGTGCCCAGGGCAGCAGCTTGTGCATGGCTGTGGAGGGGAGGACTTGCAGCCAGCTCACTCCTGAGTGTGTGTGGTTGTTTTCCCAGAGACAGGGTGGGCAAGGTCCCAAATCTGTCACTGGTTGTTACATGCACTGTTCAGCTAGGGACCTATAAAGCAGGGACTGGGGAGGTCTCCTTGAGTTGTCCTGGAGTGAGTTGGACAGTAGGACTTGCTATGTCTGAGGCAGAAAAACATAAACCCCCTCGCTGCTCCTCTCTTGTCTCACATAGAGATTTGGGACAGTTATTGCAGATAATGACTAGGTGCATTTCCTCCATCTCCCCTGAGCTTTTCTGGTGGGGTAGCAGTGAGGAGGCAGAGCCAAAATGCTCCTCTGTGGTGGCCACTGGCCCCTGCAGGAGCACTCAGGCAAGCCGAGGCTCCTGGGGGATCAGTCAAAAGGTGCAGCAGGTCTCCTCATGGCCAGGGCACTGGGTGTCTGCACATTGGGTAGGATCTGGGTCTAGAGACTGAAATCCCAAATCCTCACTTCAGGTCTCTCAGGGGAAAAAAAGAGAAAGAGGAAAAGAAGAAAAGATGCATACGGCTCATTTACCAACATACCTGGTGGACCAGGATCTCCTTTGCGTCCAGGAGGCCCTGAAATAAATATTTAATGGATATTTTTCAGTAGTCAGCACTCGGTGGGGAACATACCAGTATGGGGTTGATAGGCTTGAGGTCTGGGCTGAAGACACCAGCCTTTTGGAGCGCACCCAGAGCCCAAGTTACACGAGGGGAGAGCAGCCTGGAGCCATGCGTGCAGCTGCGGTGGGATCCAGGGGGGCTGCACAGGGCTGTGCTCCAGCTTCTCCAGATGTGTCCAGCTCCCGAGCCAGGGTGTCTGGAGCCAGTGTCCAACCCTGGGCACTAGGGCATCACTAACTGACAGGAACACCAGATCTTGCCCTTGTTATTTGTTCATCTGAACTAGGTTTTTGGCCCAGCTTTGCCAGTGGTGCAGAGGAACCAGCTCTCCCCACCATACAGCCAACATGGAGACATGGAGCCATACCTGCAACGAGGGTGATGTTGTTCATCATCATCATCAGGTTTGCATTGCTGCTTTTAATTATGGTGATTTCTTCTTCTAAGCTTCTCCTCCAGCTTTCTTCATGTCCCATGTGCTTCTCTGTAGGGTTTCTCTCCAAAAGCATTTTGTCGGCAAAGGACCTTTCCAGAATCTCTTCTGCGTAGGAGGTATTTTGTTCTTGACATTTCAGTATCTCTCTCTGCATCTTAAACACTGAGGAAACAAAAGGCCCATGCGATGAATATTCCCTGCTCGATCCAGCTGAGAAATGCCTGTTTGGCAGAGCACCCGTGGAGGACACCTGGGGTTAAACACCACCACTGTTTGACCTGGGGAGGTGGTTTTCATGTGCTGGTCCTTGCTACAGCCAGGAGTGCAGCCAGGAGTGCTTTTGCAGATGCAAAGCATATATGCAGGGTGGGGGAATGGTTTCCTGCAGCGGCTGCTTTGACTTGGGGTGTGCAGAAGACCAACTGTGCTCCCTCAGAGTTTTCCTATCTGCATGCTCATCCCCACTCACCCGTGCCCCCTGAGAACACCCAGAAAAGCTGTCTTTTGATGTCAAGCCTGCAGTGAGGTTGTAGTGTTACCTTTGTATGCCAGCAGCCCCTGGCTGGCTGTCAACAGCAGCAGGTAGATGCCGAGGGCAACCCGAGTGCAGCATGTGGATGGCTTTCTTTGGTTTCGAGGCTCTAAAAACCAACAGAAGTAAGGTAGACATCCTCTCGCATCTCTCTTGTTGCAGACTCTGCTTGCTTCCAGCCATTTCAGGCTTGGCCACAATAAATTAGCAGTGCTTTCTAACAACAGGGAACAGCAAGGTCCCTCTGTGAGACTGCCAGGTCCTGTAGGCAAGGCAGACTGCCTTCCTCTCACCTGGGCTTTGCACTGCAATTCACTTGGACATCTTTTTCCTAGCCAATTTAACCAACTCACTTCCACCAAGACTTAATCCAGCCTATAACAGTATGAATGTTGTAGTTTTCTCCTTTCTGCATCAATAAACTCCCTGTTTCCATCACTTTCAGTTGTCCCAGGCTGCCACTCAAAGAGGGTAGCTCAAAGCACATGCCCTCTCCATCCAGAGCACTGCATACACGCAATTCCAACAGTGATGTATGTACACATTGAAACAAATGAAAAATCAATAATAAACTGAACTGCAGAACAAATGAAAACAAGTCATAACATTTAAAACAAATTGTCACCAGCAAGTGTAAAAGAAATAAACTGCTTTGTCAAATTTTGGCCTTTAGGGAGAAAAAAGTATTTCAGAAGGATTAATAACTACTTCAGACATTCAGTAAGTTACCCATAATTGAGTTTTTTTCAAAGTAATGTAATCAGGAGTTTAAAGTCTTGGTTTTAAAAGAGTACAATGATTTAATTAGTTTTACAATAGAATGGTTTAGTCAGCAATGAAGTATTTATATTCAGCTAAAAATTCATAAAGTTACATTTTTTATTGATCTGGTGATTTCAGTATCTTAATTGTTAAGATGAAATTTTTACTCAGTAAAATTAGGCATTTTCTAAACAGGAAAAGAACCATTTTTTTTCTGATGCTCAGCATCAGCTTTTGGCTAGAAAGGACAATTTCACGTATTTCTTTTTTTAAATGGTCAGTTGATTTAGTAGCAAAATCACTGTAAAAAGCATTTAATATGCAGTATAAATACAATATTTCATTTTTATGCACTGCTTTCTTCATAGACCAGATAAAATCCGTATCAATCCATTTAATAAAAAGAAACCTTACCACTTATCTGAAAGGTTGTGGTAGCAGCTGAGGCAAACGCAGTCTTGTCTGAAACACTGAAAGCGTTCATATCACTCAAATTTCCATCTTCCCTGTATCTGTCTTTAATTTTCATGACAAATTTCTTGTGGCTAACCTAAAGCCTTGTCAGATTATGGACAATAAAGAACTGAAGGGACTTCCTATCTGCCTCCTGATTTGATATGCTTTCTGATATGCTTTTCCTATCTGCTCAGTTTTTATAGACTTGTGAGAACTCTGATGTGGTAATTTGAACAGTTCCTCAAAAAATCCCACAGCTAAGATGTTCAGCTGCTCTTGCATACTCACTTGGGGATGGCGTGTCCACAGAGCCTCGGGCAGAATCCTGCAAGAGGTTCAACCCTGAGTTATTTGACATCTCTGCACTTTATTGGGGTTGGACATGAGGTGACCTTTTTGCTCCTAACACAAATAAACCTCCTTATGTAGCCGAGAAGATCCCAGGTTCAACATTAGCTTGGAGATCCATCCCCTGGGACGGGAGGTGAAGCACTGTGTGGTAGTGAAAAACACATTAACTTGCACCAAGATGACAACTTAGTGATGGTGCATGACTCTTCAGTCATGCGAGGAGGGAAAGAATCAGGAGGATTTGTAAAGACAAGCGTATGATGGTGGGATGGGGGGTGCTGAAGCCCAAATGGGTTTGGGATGTAATGGAGAAAAGACACTTTCAGCCTCCTTGCTGAGGGTCTCTCAGCCCCTGCTTCCTCCTTGTCCCATTTTCCACACTCACGGACACAGCTGTTACCACCTCACCCCTTCTTTGCTCACATCATGTAAAACTCCCCCCTGCAGACCTCACCCTGGCATTTGGCACTTTGGCATGTCCATTTGTGCTGGGGTTGGTTTTGATTTTGCAAAGGGAAGTAACTCACCCAAACCCACAGGCGAGAGCTGTCGGTAGGCGCTGGGCAGAGCCCTCCGCACCCACGCTGCCACCACCACGTGCTGCCCTCTCTGAGGTGCAGGGCAGTCCCCATCACACGGTCTCCTCCTGGGCTGCGGGTCCGTGGTCATCCTTGGGGCTGCTGGGTCCTCGCTGCTTTGCGTGGGCATGGAAGAAAGTGTGGTGTAAGCTTCAGGTAGACATGAGCTGGAAGTCCAGACCCTGATGGCCCAGTGTGGAATGAAGTCCTCTGTTCTGCATCTGACATGCAGCTCTCTTAAAGGCTTAAACCAAAAATATGTGGGGATTTTTAAATCCACTTCTGTGTTCTCCTTTCAAACATGCTTGTGCAGCTGTGACCTGGTTTGGCACAAACAGGGAGGAAGAAGAGTCTTCCATTACCATATATTCTGCTACACGCTGCGTAGGAATTGGGATAATTTTCTTTGTTGTGAAGGGCTCAGATACCCTCTTGAATTAGAGTGGCTGAGAGGTTACCACCAATCAGCTGAGCCATAGTAACTACCTGTGCATGCTCTCCCTTCATGGCATTGCCTCCCCACTGGGGCAAGGGCTCATATCCAGCTCATTTCTACTGGTTTGGATGGTTCAGCTGACCACTCTGCACAAGCCTGAAGCCATCTACTCTTGCTGGGCCAGGTGGTGAGCTGTGCATGACTGCACTTGTGTTACCAAGTGGATGTTTATAGAGAAGGATGTGATTGAGGTGCACACAGGGAGCAGATTTACAGCAAAAAGGCTTTTAACAACACTTCTAGGCAAATCCATTTTGCTTCAAAAGTATTAAAAAGAAGCTGGTAGCTGTAGTTTTCAAAAGCCCTCCTAAAAGGCAAAAGGTACAATGAGATCTTTGTGCACTCCTTCCCTGAGAAAGAAGTTCAGGGATATATTTTCCCACCTCTCATGGTCATGCTATGGCCATGTCATTCTCAATGGCCCCGGTGGCATAGGTGCAAAAGCAGGGGTAGAGACCCTTGATTTTGACAGTCCCGATCTGCACTGCTCCAGGGTTCAAAGTCCAATTCTCCACTTAGCTATTTCATGAAGGTCAATAGCAAAGTCATGATCCCACCCAACTTTTCCCACCAGCTGTGGTTGCCTACCCAGCTGGTCAAACTTAATTATGCCCTTATTTCTAGTTGATATAGCCCCGTGCAGCTCTGCGTGCTGCCACGTTCCACCAGTCAGGTGAGCATCTGGCTGCCTGGGAGCATCCTGATGTGTTTCCATGTGGATGTCAACTGCTGCAAACAGGTGGCAGATTTCCCTGTGCACATGGCACCGGGGGTCTTGGCCATGCCACAGATGTCAGAGATCATGTACACACTCACTCAGCATTTGTGTGCGCTCACTGCCGCTGTCCCCACCCTACTTTCTGCTGTCTTCATTTCTCTCTGTACCATCACTGACCGCAGCAATAGATTGACTCTGATTGTGCAATTGGGGTTACTAAATCAGGAAAGAAAAAAAGAAAAGAAACTGCTGATTCAGTGCAGTCTCCCTAGGTTGACGGTTTGCTGAAACGATGGGGTTATTAATACAATAGAATTTTCCAGCACATTATGAGGCACATCTGCTGGGACACCAGCCTCACCCTCCAGGCTCTCTGCTAGGAAGCCCTGGCCCCTCTCCCTCCTGCTGCTCTTCCTGCCTTCCCTGAAATGCTCTGCCAACATCTTGGGGAAGAGACCAAAGTCCTCTGACTCATCCCAGCCCTTCCCTTCCCGTGCTCTGGTGTTGGTGGCTCATGCCATGCAGAAGGTCCTCCACATGCTTTCATTGCACCTCATCTGAACCAAGCTGTATAAACAGACCACAGACGCCTGAAAGTCACAGGCCTGTGGGTAACTGCTGATGGAGGGAAAGGGAAGTTTCTGGTCCCTGGCCATCCCCGCTACCTTTCTCGTCTCCTTTCACTGCTGTTGTCAGCTACAGGCATTTGCCACCATGAAAAGCTCATGGCAGAGCGAAGAGACATAACGCCAAACTCCAACCTGGCATTAGCTAAACACAGTGCTTCCCAGCAGTGATGCTGCCAGGGAGCTTGAAGAGATGTTAGCTTTCTCAGGATAGGCATTTATCCTGAAACAAATAAATTTGTGGGGTTTTAAAGTTTTTTTTTTTTCCAAGTGAGAAGATATCCTAGCTCAGAGATGTTTCTCCTTTTATCTACAATATGGTAATTTTTCCAAACTCGACTATTTGATTGCAGACTGTCTTAGGCACAAATGGGCAGAATTCAGGGGGTTTTGGTGTCCCTCCAAGGATGGGGAAGAAAAGAGGTGATGGCACAAACAGGCCCCATTTCAGGTAAGCCAGGGCAGCAACCTTCACCATTTCTGCCATCACCTCTAGACTGAAGTGAGAGTGGCAGCCAGAAGAGGTGACAGTCTACCCCTTACACCTGCACTCATGTATCTGCAGATGAACTTCAAAAAACACTGAAAAGTGATCCTGCCAACAGACCACGCTGCTCTGCCACAGAAACAAGTAGCCATGGTTTGACCTGGGACACAGCCCTAGATGCACACTGCAAAGCCATCAAATTGCCTCTGCAGTGGTAGGTTTGTTTGTAAACTAGCTTAGGGGTTTTTTTTGTCCTATTTTACCTGATTCTTCAGTCTTTTTCTCTTTTTGGAACGAACAAGGTTGGTGAATTTTGACACACCGGTCAGCTTTTGTGGTGGATTGACCCTGGCCATCAGCCAAACACCCACCCAGCTGCTCTCTCAGTCCCCTCTCCCAAAGGATGGGGAGAAAATAGAAAAGGAAGGTAGAAGACTCACTGGTCCATATGATGACAGCTTAATAGGGAAAGCAAAAGCTGCACTTGCAAGCAAAGCAGAAAGAGGAATTCATTCTCTGCTTCCCATCGGCAGACAGATAGGCAGCCACTTCCTGGGAAGCAGGGTCATAGCATGCGTGATGGTTGTTTGGTTGACAAATTCCCTAACCACAAACATCTCCCCTTCCTCCTTCTTCCCCTGAACGTTTATTACTTAGCTCGACGTCATATAGTGTGGAACATCTGTTTGGGTCAGCAGCCCTCGCTGTGTCCCCTCCCAGCCTCTTGCCCCCCCCCTACTCACAGCCATGACACTGTCCAAGCACTGCTCACCAGCAGCTAAAACATCAGTGTGTAATCAACACTGTTTTAGCCACAAATCCGAAGCACTACACCATATGAGCTGCTGCGGAGAACGTTACATCCATCCCAGTCAGACCCGGTACAGCTCTCCAGTATGATGGTGTTTATGCTAAAATGCCTTGTTGTCCCCGAGGAAGGACCAAGGACTTTGATGCCCATGGACATTGAGAGGCACTGCTGAGCACAGGGGGAGCTGAAGCAGGTTGTGAGTGATGTGCCCACCGGCAGCTCATGGAGGTGCCAGGTCTGGGCTCTCCCTTGTGAGTGTCCCACTGACTGCCTGGTTCAGCCCTGGTCAGCACCCCCTGAAAAAAAGTGGATCTGGCTCTAAGGGAAAGAAATGATGTGGTGCCTGGAGAGTTTCCATGCAGATAAGAGACTGAGGCCAACATGCAAGATCTAAACAACTGTTATTTGTGCCAGGTCATTAAAACAAAGCTTGAGCCTGGACCCATATGGAAGCAGGGGCCTTGTTATGAAGGCCCCTGTGTCCCTGCACGCCCGGAACCGTGCTCAGGTGGTCCAGCTGCTGCGGTAGCACCTGGGTACTCCTGGGACCACAGAGGAGCGCTTGTGCTTAAGCAATAAAATCCCCAGTGCTGCCTGGCTGACATTTCTCCTTTCTAGCTTGATGTGTTGCTTGGCTTTGTTGTAGAGATTGAAACCAGATTTTCTTTCCCTTCTATGAGTTATGTTAATTTGTGTTTCATCAGTACTTGCCTCTTCTCCTCCTTTTCTTCCTCCCCTCCACCCCCCCGCCTTTAGGCTGGATCCAGCTGCACCATGAATTCAAGGAACCACCTGCAAAATATTTTAATGACTTCAACCTGCTCTTTGAGGTGAATTAATACCAGGGCAGCCTCCACAGCATGGTGAAATAGTCAGGCTTGGTTAAGCAGGCCACCCTCAAAGCCAAAAAATATGTTCTGCAAGGCAACTGCTCCTGACAGGCAACTCTGTTTTCAAGGACCCCATACAGTGTCTTGCTCCTCACCTCGAAGGCTGTTGTCCCCTA